GAAGATTCCTAGGCAACACCACCAACAGCAACAACAACAACAGACAACAATCAGCATAAATAGAAGGAACCTGAAAGAAACAACCTCTTTTAGCTACCTGGGAAGCATCGTTTCAACTACAGGCCGGTGGAACTGACGAGGGTATCAAAGCACCGAGGATCGGAAAAGTAAGACAAGCTTTCACTACTCTCAAGTCTGTGTGGAGGTCAACAGCACTCACCATCAAAACGAAGATAAGATCCGGATTTTCAACTCCAATGTGAAGTCAGTCAGTGCTACTTACTATACGGATGGATCAGAGACTTGCACTGCGCGTCATAAATAGCACAGCAGACAAACTACGCACCTTCATTAACAGCTAGCTGTCTTCGCTCAATACTACTCAAGATCAGATGGCCGGCCAGAAAAGATCATCAACAAGAGGGATCTCTGGCAATGAGCGAACCAACCAACCAGGAACCGATTGTGAAAGAAATAGGCAGGAAGAAATGGAGGTAGGTGGATTGGCTGGCCATACTCTGAGGAGACAAGTCATCAAGTGAGACATCACTAGAGAAGCCATCGCTCGAGTGGAACAGGGCCGAAAGGGAAGCAGCGGCGAGTTGGTTGCCAGTGCGAGGTGGGGTGACTTGGAGGAGGTCATGTGAAGAGGAGATGAAAGCGTGTGTGTGGCAGACTTGGAGCCAGGTGAAGACTCTAGCAGAGAACCGAAGGCAATGGAGACACGGCTGAAGCCCTATGTTCCTCTTGGAATTAAAGGAAACAATAATAATAATAATGCTAATAGCCAAAATTATAAGATACCTGAAATAGTGTCACCATATATATTACAAATAGGAGGAGATAAAAGATCCATTTATTTTGCTATTTATACAGTAAGTTATCAGTTTCACGCTTAACACAAACAAACACACACTCTGTCTATCTCTCTCTATGACATAAAATGCTGTCCAAAGAAGGCATCGCTGAGTTTGCGTGCTTAGTTGTGCAAGTGAGCATATAATCTTTTATAATGACTTTTAGTCCTACTTGAGAGACTATTGGGTTACATGCTACGATGTCTAGAATAGAATTAGCTGGAAAGGAAAGCTAAAAGTAGATGACTTTTTGACTAAATTTTAGTCTTTAGTAAGTTGAATGCATCGGAATGTATTCATTTCGATTATCTGCTATACACTGCTTGCTTTTAAGCTAATGCCTGTTTGTTTGTCGTCTTCCGTTCTCCTTCTACCCGCTCCGCCTAACCACCATGACCATCCTGCTCAACATTCTTATTATTTTTTCTCCTGAAGATCATGTTCATTTAGGCGAAAGGAAGTGGCCTATATATACATCTTCTGAACGGAGCTCGTTCAAATTGTTAGGCAAAGCAATGACAAGTATTACTGTTTTGAAGTACATTGAGTAATTTAATTTACATTGACCGTGTACATTGAGTTAAAGAGAAGGTGGTCTGGTTAAATTATAGATTTGAGCATATCTTTGGTTCTTTGCAAACAATAGTCTCGTGATCTGACCCCAATCATCTCCCTTGTTCCTGAAGAACAACAAGTAGGATTCATAGCCTAGTGCATTAAAAAATGTGTTCGGAGTGGTGAAATTTAAAACTACTGAAAATGAAAGATGACTAACTAAATCGAGCTCATTTCCAATCTGGTTTTGTTGCAATCCTTGGCAAAGTTAAACTTTAAGCACCACTAACTACCGATGGAGTGCTACCGCATCAATGACCTTGAAACGCTCACCGATCAAGTTAATGAAACCTGGCAAATAATGTTGTCATCATCAATAAAATATACTCATCGAAGTGTAATGCTATTAAATCGGATATCTGGCAAGTTTCAGCTTAGGTTTGGGAAAGATTAAGTTACGATTTAAGCCAAAGACAAGTTAGGGTTAGGTTAACCTAATAAAGACGACATCAGGGTTGGTTCGAGTTAGGTTACAGTTAGTTTAGGGAAGACCTAAATAATTACGTACATAGAATGTGGAGGAGGAGACAGTTTTGAATAAAACAGGGTACTGAGATTCAAGCAATATGGATTTGGCCCATCGATTTCTCTCATGAGTTCAGATATCTGTTGACTATAATGGTAACTAGCTAGCTGGCCGACTTAATGGTACACCACTTACCCTACTGACAACCTTTGATACCCTTCTCAATACTGTCAATCACATTGTTCTTTTTGAGTGGCCCAGGAAATACTAAGCCGGTAAAGATGCAAGAGTTAACAGATTGTAAAAGTAGAGGTGGGGAGTGATACCTTACTTGGTTATCTCGACTTCTTAATGTATTGATTGGGTCAAACGACACATTTGCTTAGAAATCAACAAGATACGGTATGATCAAAAAAGGTTAGAGGATAGAACTATTCCAAGGCACATTTAATGCTTGAGCTAGTTTCTATTTCAGTGTCCTGTTTGCTACAAGCAAGCATCATGTACGGGACAATTTGTTTAGATCATATTTATGCTTGACTTGTGGAGGGACTTAATGTTAGACAAAAATTCAGTATGAAGTGAACCTTTTCTGAATTTTTCATACATGCAGTATAATTGTATCTTCTGACAAGCTTTGTCGTGATTGGTTGTTGTTTTTTCATCAGTATTGATCGTTTTTGTTCATGTAAAATTCAACTTTTTCGTCATATGACTTATTCTTTATTACTTGTTACATTTAATATGGCTGGCTGGATTAAACATAGAACTTGGAACCCAAGTGCAACAGTTCGAGTTGATACGTTCCAAATACCACACAAAGGTAGACAAAAAAATGAGTGAAGAGAATCAATAGAGTTTTGACAAGTATAAGAGTGAAACAGAATGAATGAGTAATAGTGGTAGAAAGGAATATGAAAGATTACAGAGACTGAATACATCTGCGTAAGCCATTGACAACGATTTTGAGCCATGTCACCTATTGTCTGTCTCCAGCCTTCATTGATTGATTCTTAGAGTCCCGAGGGCGGGCCGGACCCCAACCCGGAAGTCTGCATCTCCCTCCCTACCTGACTGACTCAGTTTAACTGTCAATGATTTCATGGATTGATGAGGCCATGTTTTTGTTTGGCCACCACATACTCTTTTCCAACCTGCACCTACCTATATCAACTAGTAATGCCCGTCCGTTGGGGGAGGCGATGGTTAGGCATGTGCAGCACGTCACCTAGCCATCTCAATCTATGTAACTTTATAGCCTCGTCGTTTGACTTTCCCTCTTTGCCCAACACTCTACGTACGCCTAACGTCAACATTACTTACCTCATTATACCACTTCCTAAGGTGAGAAAGAGATCGTAGACATCTATGATCAAAAACAGTCAACCTTCTCATGTCGTGTTCAACTCGTATTGGCCATGTTTCAGAGCCGTAGAGAAGGACGGAGCGAAGTGATGAGCAGTACACACGTCCCTTGGTTGTTAATCGGATGTCACGCCTACGCCAGAGATGGTGTAAGTTAGCGAAAGCAGCTCGAGCTTTTTGGATCCGTGTTAAGGTTTCGTCACCAATCAATCTGTTGGTGCTGATTTAATATATAATAATATGTCTGGTAATCGCTGAGTACCACCAGGCTTCTAAAAGTTCCGTGTAGGTGGTTTCAGTGCTTCCAGTGTTTAGTATTTCTACATTTCCACCAGTCAAACTGCCGTCCATAATTGTCGACAGGCACTGATATTATTTAAGAATACATGTTGTGTCTTTTCACAGCCAGTTTATATATATTCTCGAACTTGGAGGCGCCCACTTTGGTCAATATATATATCTTTTCGTGATTTTTTCGAGGGCGGGGAGGGGTAGGGCGTAGTTTTGATTTCATCTTCTTTCGCTGTTGGGTGGGTCTTTTTAGTCTACACATAGTATTTAAATGATGAAGGCATTGTGTTGTGTGATATCTGTTTAGCGTTGTTTTAGGAGTGGTCAAAACCAAAGTCCTGCTATCAGTATATGAAGTTGATTTTTAGTTTGAACCATGTAGGGAGGGAGGTAGGTAGGTGCGCACTAATTGATTAAAGCCCCCGAAACTGACTCTAAGAACACCGATAGCGATAGCTTAAAACAGCGAGTGAGTGATATGACTCAAAGTCGTTCCCCAATGCCACAGGGATGCATTCACTCTGTGTATAGTCACTCAAATCCTATGAATCTTCGCTATTCTCCCGTACATTTCTGCTTATTCTGTAGTTCTTTTGAGTTTTATTCCTTTTCTATACCTTTGAGTGCTATATATGCAGTCTATGAAGAAGTAGAACTACTGCATTTCTGTGCAGTAGTTTTATGTTGAAATTCAAGTGTCGGTTTATAGGGGTTTGATTGGTTGGTTATAGGATTTCATCACGAGCTGACATCAGTTAGGAGAACCATTGGAAAACCTGAGAGTACCGGACAGCCATTTCGTTCTAGTTTGGGACTCTTCAACAGTACGCACCCACCGGGATTCGAACCCAGAGCCACCCAGTTACAAGGCTAGCTCGTAGACCACTAAGCCGCTGGGACCCGATCCAATGTCCAGACAGTCCATGAATTCTAACTTCTGCTAATTCACGACATAGCGCGGCCACTAGCCAATGTCATCTGTACCCTACTGGTCGCAATTTCCCACTAGAACCCCAGGTAACTACTCACCTGATGAATAGGGCCAGTCGCTAGTGAGCATCTCATTGATATTCAAGCATTGGTTTGTAGGGATCTGATTGATTGGTTACAGGATTTCATCATGAGCTGACATCAGTTAGATAACCATTGGAACCACTGAGACGTAGCCAGTCAGTCAGCTTTTATTCAAGTCACTACTATTATTTTTGATTTTGAAAATATTCAAGTTGTCTATCTGTGCATATGTGTATTTTGTTCAATACTCTATTGATCACTTTTGTTTTTCTGCATAGACAAATTAGTCTGGCACTAAATTCTAAATCCTATAAATGCGTATAAATTATTTTTATCACATCTCTTATTATTATTATTGCTTTTCAGTTATCGTCACCATGTACGTCTTTTTGATGGATCAAGGTCGTCTTGTCTCTCTAGACGACAATTTGTTATCTCAAACGTAAGTTAAAAAAGAAAAAGAAATCAAATTTTTACAATTTTGTTTTGTTTCTGTAAAAAGAATACAAAAAAAGAACAACTGTTTATGCATAATTTTTCTATGCCAGTTGATGTGATGCGTTTTGAGACGCTTTTATTATTGTCCAGATGCAAATCGGATTTTGAACCAACTGGATATTGGATAATTTTCCCCGGTATGATTTTATTGTCTCAAGCAATGCTTGGCTTTCAGTCTGTGCATTTCTTAGTTTCGACCCCTTCCCTTCTACTTACTACAACCCGGGCAGCTAGGTAATTTTGCCATCATGGTTACCTGGGTGATCAAGCTGATTTGTCTGCTTATGGGAGGAAATGTATGAGCGGCTATCACTTCCCAGGCGCTCACACCGTGCGGAAGAGCATTGGGGTTGCGTAACTGCATGACTCGAAGGATAACTGTTTGAAACCACTACCACACACACACGCCCTGTTTGGCTTGGTTTCTTTTGAATTGTGTCCATATGAAAATCTCTTCGTGGGCTACGGACCCATCCCGCAAGGCAAGTCGGGATATACAATCTTCATGGTTTATCTTTTCTAGCCAATCCTCCTCCTTAAAGCGGAGAAGCAGTGAAAATAGCTTGTTGTTGGGTTGTCTTAGGGGGAAACACCTTGCCGCTGTTGCATCCTTATTTTCTGAAGTACAACTTCACCCTCAGAACCCCTCCCAACATAGTGTATGTGAATGACTTGCATTATGACAGCAACTGTTTCTAACGTAATCGCTATCCAGACAACCTTTATGACATACTTGCAGGAGCATTAGTTCTAGTCAATGTAGCTAGCTAGCTGTATGGGTGATTTGCAATATGCAATCCCCCCCACCTCCACCGTATCTAGGTAGCAATCTCTGTCGATCAGGAACTGGACAGATGTGATGAAGATACTTCTTTCACTTTCCTAGACAGGTCGGTTTTCGACATAGAACTTTGCACATATGTGCGCCAGTTCAAGTCGCCACACTCCCTCCATGTAGCGCACAAAGCAAGAAAAGAAAGTAGGAGAAATCCATAAGATAGCCAGTAAACAGAGGTGTGAGACAAAGGAATAGTAATGACGAAGAACAAAACAGTTTCAATGGAAATCATAAGTCAGTCACAAGGAGTGGATGCATCTGCGCCAGTCAGCCATTGAGAACGATCACTTTGAGCTAGCCATGTCACCAATTGTTTCCAGCATTCATTGGTTTTTACTGTCCCGAGGACCCCAACCAGTCAGGAAGCCAATCTACACCTTCCTACGGGGCTGGCTGGTTTAGACTAACTGTTGTGGATTTCAAATGAACTGTGGTCAAAATTTGACAGAATAGTTCTAAAATATTTGGGCGTCGAGTGAGAAGTAGACATTTGTAAAAAATTATATTTGTAAAGTCTCAACGAGATTGAAATGGGTAATTCCAACGTTTCGTTCGGCAATCTGGTCCGAACTTCTTCAGGGAAATTAATCGAAATTAATATAACATAGGTTTATATATAAAAAGGAACATCACTTGTTTTTAAAAATTTGTCCAATCATGAGTCATTCAAAAAAGTATCAACAAGTATAGTAAACAAAATTTTTTTTTTATGAGCTGTGATCAAAATTTGACCTCGGACTTACAAATATTGGTCTACCTTTGTTAAACACTTTAAACAGAGTGTGTATGTGTGTGTGGATAAACAGTTGTAAAACATTTCTTAACCTTTCCATTAGAAGATATGGACAGTCGAGAATTTTCACCAAGTATTAATAATTAGAGATACATATCCATTTTTATTTATTAATAAGAATTTCCTATGCATCATCTAACATCACGCCATCATGTCTGTTCAAACTGTTCGTATCTAGAATTTTATGATTAGACGTATTTTCAAAATTATGGTGTTTAGGATTAGCGTTTAGTAGAAGCACCCTGTCGGCCTTATTGCTTTGTCTTCTTCCTGAAGATTGAGCTGCTTTATTCGACCTACTGGAGTTGTCAAGTGACTCGACAGCTACGGATTTAGGATATACATTCAGTTGCAGACAACGGAGAATGAAAACGCGATGATTGTTCCAATTACACAGTTTCTTTGCTAATTTAATTCGATTGCAAATTAATTCAAATGAACTGTCGTCAAAATTTGACAGAATAGTTCTAAAATATTTGGGCGTCGAGTGAGAAGTAGACATTTGTAAAAAATTATATTTGTAAAGTCTCAACGAGATTGAAATGGGTAATTCCAACGTTTCGTTCGGCAATCTGGTCCGAACTTCTTCAGGGAAATTAATCGAAATTAATATAACATAGGTTTATATATAAAAAGGAACATCACTTGTTTTTAAAAATTTGTCCAATCATGAGTCATTCAAAAAAGTATCAACAAGTATAGTAAACAAAATTTTATGAGCTGTGATCAAAATTTGACCTCGGACTTACAAATATTGGTCTACCTTTGTTAAACACTTTAAACAGAGTGTGTATGTGTGTGTGGGTAAACAGTTACAAAACATTTCTTAACGTTTCCATAAGAAGATATGGACAGTCGAGAATTTTCACCAAGTATTAATAATTAGAGATACATATCCATTTTTATTTATTAATAAGAATTTCCTATGCATCATCTAACATCACGCCATCATGTCTGTTCAAACTGTTCGTATCTAGAATTTTATGATTAGACGTATTTTCAAAATTATGGTGTTTAGGATTAGCGTTTAGTAGAAGCACCCTGTCGGCCTTATTGCTTTGTCTTCTTCCTGAAGATTGAGCTGCTTTATTCGACCTACTGGAGTTGTCAAGTGACTCGACAGCTACGGATTTAGGATATACATTCAGTTGCAGACAACGGAGAATGAAAACGCGATGATTGTTCCAATTACACAGTTTCTTTGCTAATTTAATTCGATTGCAAATTAATTCAAATGAACTGTCGTCAAAATTTGACAGAATAGTTCTAAAATATTTGGGCGTCGAGTGAGAAGTAGACATTTGTAAAAAATTATATTTGTAAAGTCTCAACGAGATTGAAATGGGTAATTCCAACGTTTCGTTCGGCAATCTGGTCCGAACTTCTTCAGGGAAATTAATCGAAATTAATATAACATAGGTTTATATATAAAAAGGAACATCACTTGTTTTTAAAAATTTGTCCAATCATGAGTCATTCAAAAAACGTTAAGAAATGTTTTGTAACTGTTTATCCACACACACATACACACTCTGTTTAAAGTGTCTAACAAAGGTAGACCAATATTTGTAAGTCCGAGGTCAAATTTTGATCACAGCTCATAAAAAAAAAAATTTTGTTTACTATACTTGTTGATACTTTTTTGAATGACTCATGATTGGACAAATTTTTAAAAACAAGTGATGTTCCTTTTTATATATAAACCTATGTTATATTAATTTCGATTAATTTCCCTGAAGAAGTTCGGACCAGATTGCCGAACGAAACGTTGGAATTACCCATTTCAATCTCGTTGAGACTTTACAAATATAATTTTTTACAAATGTTGTGGATTTCATTGACTGGTGCCATGTTTTGGTTTGACCACCACTGGCTAGCTCTTTTCCAGCCTGACCCTATATCAGCTAACATTGCCCATTGTCGAGGAACGCGATGACTAGGGATGCATTAGTAACACATGTCCTAACCATCTCAGTCGATGTAATTTCACAGCCTCGTCGATTGACTTCCAATTCCTCCTTACCAACTAGCACTCCACCGATGGCCTAACCTCAATATTGGTCACCTTATTATACCACTTCACGCGGGAGATAGAACGCAGACATCTATGATCGAACACAGATAATCTTTTCATGTCTTTTGCTCTCAATGGCCAGGTCTCACAGCCAGCCATAAAGGAGGACGGAGCGGACTGATGAGCAGTAAACTCGCCCTTTGGTCGATAGTCGGATATCACGTCTACTAAGCCAGAGACGGTGTAAACTGGCATATGCGAAACTAGCCCCCTGTATTCGTGCTGAGATTTCGTCAGAGATCAGCCCGTGCCAACGGGCTGATGGTACTTCCCAAGTAAGTGAAGACAGACAGCATCGTTTCAACTAAAGGTTGCGGCACACGGATGAGGGCCGTCAAATCTCACAAGAATCAGAAAAGCAACAAGATAGGTGTGTGTTCATTACTCAGAAGGGTCATTTGCAAATCTGTTGCACACTCGGTTTCAAGGGATGAGATCCAAATTTTGTTCAATAGTAATGTCAAGTCAGTCAATGCTTTCATAGAATCTGAGAGACTTGGTTTGTGTCATCATAGAAAGCATTTCCAGCGGACTGCAGACTTTTAATCAATAACTGTCTCCTTCGCTTTATGCTGTGGAAGTCAGACAGTCAGTCAGTCAGATACGATAACCAACAAGGAACTCTGACAAAAAACCAAACGGATTGGACATACGCTAAGGAGAGACAGTTGAGTGTCATCAAACACTAAGTTGACCGAACCCTGAAGCGGGAAAGCTAAATGAAAAACGACGAGCTAGCTGGGCATCGGTCCCGTAGGTGACATACATGGTTGAGATATTGTGCACAGAGGAAATGAAAACTTGTTGGCAATCGTATTCTAGTTATCTATGTTATGTCATCCAATTTATTTGCTCAATTTTAGTCTTAATTTAAATGGCATTATTCTCTGCTTCCACCTTTACATAGTCTCTACCTGTAATTTTCTCTGTTGCTATCCTCCTGACCTGAGCTGAAACAATTATATTACGTCATCTAACTTGCTAACTCAATCTTGCTTTAGTTGCTGTGTAATTAACCTTGTTTCTATATTAGATCATTCTTGTATTACCTGATTAATTATCTAAACTTGACGAATCTCATGTACACACACACACAAAATAATTGTGTATAAATGCGATTGGCATAAAATGGACTCACACAAAAAACTTGGAGTATCTGGACTTCGCCGATGATATATGTCTGATTTCCCACAAACTGGAAGATATGCAAGCGAAAGGCAACAAGTTGGCAGAACAAGCATCCAGACAAGATGAGACTTACTTCAGGTGAACATGGAGAAAACAGAGGTGATGAAGATTCCTGGCCAACACCACCAACAGCAGCAACAACAATCAGCATAAATGGAAGGAACCTCAAAGGAACAACCTCCTTTACCTACCTACCTGGGAAGCATCGTTTCAACTACAGGCCAACGGAACTGATGAGGATATCAAAGCAAGAATCGGAAAAGCAAGACCAGCTCTCACTACTCTCAAGTCTATGTGGAGGTCAACAGCACTGCTCAGCATCAAAAATAAGATCCGGATTTTTAACTCCAATGTGAAGTCAGTCAGTGCTACTTACTATACGGATGGATCAGAGACTTGCACTGCGCGTCATAAACAATGAACCCCAGTTCTCGTTTCCTTTAACTATTTATGAACCTATGAAGAAAGATGGAAAAGTAATTGTTGTTTTCCTGTTGTCTGTCTGTCTGTCTATCTATCAAATTGAAAGTTGATCTGTGTCTTAATTCTAGTTAAACAAAATAAGACGTCATACTTTTACGTGAATATATATTTTCCATCGGTATTTTAATACTGACTTTAACCTGTCTATCTATCTATCCTGTAATGGATTATTTTCATATGATACCTATCAGTCAGCTCAGTTGATTGGTTGGTGGTTGGCTTACGTCACATGATTTCGTGTGTCTGTACTTCCGTGTGTGTGTGTGTGTGCGTCTATGTTATCACATATTTCTATACATATTTAAATATACACATATATACTTTAGATACCACACATACATACGCACTCAATCGAAGGACGTTAGTTAGTTAATGGTCCGTCAGCGTGTGTGTGTGTGTGTGTGGCTGATTGTGTGCATATGTATGTATTGACGTAGATATAGGCGTAAACGAAAAAAAGGTTAATGTCCAAATACTAGTTGATCACATGGTCTGGTCTTTTTAAAGTAAAATTCTCGACAACCGTAATGATAATAATAATAGGAGTAATTTGCATTTGTATTAAGTAAGTATATGCGCGTAGACAACAACCAGTTTTTTTTTCAGTGGCTAAATACACTAGGCATCCATCCACTTTCCTATTTTCATTTCAAGCAGTAGTAGTAGCTAGTTGGTTAAACACACTCATATAGTGTAAAGGAATATATTTAAGGAAAGATTGAATATATATACCACAAAAGTGTGTGGCAAAAATTTCTGTATGGGACATGACCGTTGTTGTAAACAGAAGATATGAGAATAGGCTAGTTGTCACTACCCAGCAGGAATCGAACCCGAGGTTGATCTCCTTAACTGAAGGGACCTAGTTCGACTCCTGGCAGGGTTGTAAGTACTCACCACTGAGGGGTCCCAAAAAACGGGGGTGAAACAGCTGTCTAGTGCTCCTTAGTAGTTTTCAATGATCTCTTTAATTATTGATGCTTGTCTGTGAATAAATTGAACAAATGAAATGGATCCAAAATCTATCTCCACAGATCCTAATAGTCTGAATGGATGGAGTTCTGTTTGGGCTATTATATTAATTCTAACTGACCGACTGACTGTTTGAGTTTCAACATAGAACTTTGCACAGAAATGCTGCAGTTCAAGTCGTCACACTCTATATAGCACACACAAATAGAGAAATGTATAAGAAATTAAATCCAAAATAACCATGATGAATAGAAATGTATGAAAAAAGAGGGATCATTTCATGAAGAATAATTTAATGCATCTGAGCAACTGAGAACGACTTTGTGGAACATTACCAACAGTCCGAAGTTATATATCGGTTGTTATTGTCCTACTGACTCCAACCAAGCAATCTTACACCTCTCTAGGTGACTCAAAATATCTGTCAAAGTCTGCAGCAGCACTGGGTGACGCAGGTTCGAATCTTAGAAGGGACATGAGTTCCTTCAAGTTAGTTGCAGATACGCCTTGCTGATGAGTGCCAACTACGACGAAATCTAGGTCAGGCAAGGCTTCCTATCGATTGCCTCCAACCATCTAATATCATCACAAAGTATTCATTAACTGATAGCATATTTTGATTTGACCATGCCCAACTTTTTCGCAGCATAATCCAATATCAGGTAGCACTACTGATCACACTTAGGAAGGCGATGTTTTAGCGCTCTCTCAACCGATGTAGCTTAAATATGTTCATCTAAACTCAGTATTACTCATCATAACCAGCTGTCAGAGTTACTTACGGCCCAGACAACTGGTTTGATATCGGTTTTCACACAAAAATAGTAGCTTAAAGCCTGGCTACGTGGAAAATCTCTTTTGGGATAGTCAGTTTCTAGCCAACTATTTAACTAGCTAATAAAGCTGTCTATTTTGATTGGACACTAGTAACTAGTGTGACGTATCTAGTCCTTCTTTGATGCATAATGAATTCTATCAGTCAGGCATTTGCAATGTGGCCACCATTCTAGGTAGCTCGCCATCACGGTGCACATTGATTTTATATTAGATAGTTGGAGGCAATCGGCCACAGGAAGCCTTGGACCTAGGTTTCGTGCCAGTTGGCACTCATCAGCAAGGCGTATCTACAACCTTGAAGAAACTCATGTCCCTTCTGAGATTCGAATAGAATTCAGTCTGCAGCGAAGATAGGACTAGACACATTACACTAGTTACTGACTAGTGTGCAATCAAAAATATATCCAATACAGTCCTACAGGAGGTCAATCGCGAGCCCCAATAGCTCAGTGGTAACGTCTCTGACTGCACCACTGGGTGACGTTGGTTCAAATTTCAGAAGGGACTTGAGTTCCTTCAAAGTTGCAGATACGCCTTGCTGATGAGTGCCAACTAGCACGAAACCTAGGTCCAAGGCTTCCTGTGGCTGATTGCCTCCAACTATCTAATATAGCTGTCTATTTCCAATGTATTAATAGAAATGTGTTTTTTCTCAAGTGGTCGGTTTGGTCAATCAATGGTTTAACCACATGATTGTTACTAATACCGTCTATGTCACATATACCATCTTCCTATGGTCTTGAATACTTCCTATAAAGCAGTTGAGTACACTTTCAAAAATTTTAGCTTTTACATAATCGTCATTCATTGTCTCTATGCTTACTTGTTACTTTCATCGGAAGCAGTTATATCAGCCGACTGACTTCCAGAAGTAGTCTTTCCATCAGCCCGTTTCGTCTACTTCCGTACTGAACTGTCTTCCCGACTCCTGCTGTTTCCCTAGCTACGGGTGTTTTCACAGGTTGGAGTGACTAGTTGCACATCCAACTTCCCCCCGCCCCTCTTTCTCTGTTAACGGACATATGACCGGCGAGTAAAGTAGCGGACATTATTTTTATTGGACACTAACTAACTAGTGTCATGCATCTAGTCCTTTATTTGGTGTAGACTAAATTCCATCAGTCAAGTTCGCATCGTGGTCACCATGCTAAGGTGGCTGGTCATCACAGTGCACACTGGATTGTTGTCATTAAATTATTGGAAGTAATCGATAGAAATCCCTACCAAACCTAGGTTTCGTGCTTGTTGGTTGGCGTTCACCACCAGTACACAAGACGTATCTACACTATCTTCAAGGAACTCATGTCCCTTATGAGATTCAAACCCGTGTCATCCAGTGCTGCTGCAGTCAGAAACGTTACCACTGAGCCATTTATTCGTGTTGACGATTGACTTCCTGTGGGACTGTATCGGATACTTTAATTGGACACTAGTAACTAGTGACCATGCGTCTATTTCTTTGTGTTGTGTTGATGATACAGACTTAATTCCATCCAATCAAATTCTAGCATAGTTCTATAACAAAAAAATCGATATCTGTCATTCATTTCCTCTTTTTTCTTTCATTTTCAGGGTTTCAAGTTTACGTAATGTATTAGCGCATGATTTCGATCTACCATTGAATAAACAAATTCTCCTGGTATCAGGCGGTTTTCAATTGGAACCAGGTGATAAATTGTCAACATATGGAGCTGGTCTAGTAAGTCTGATTAGAACATATCTCTGACTTTATGATGTGTATACAGACAGGTATATCATTACTTTCATGGTTAAGGAAACTTGATTATTATTATTATTATTGTTCCTTTAATTCCTAGAGGAACATAGGGCTTCAGCCGTGCGTCTCCATTCCGTTCGGTTCCCTCCTAGAGTCTTCACCTGGCTCCAAGTCTACCCACACTCCTTCATCTCCTCTTCACATGACTTCATCCAAGTCACCCTTGCACTGACGACCAACTCGCCTCCGCTTTCCTTTCGGCCGTGTTCCACCCGAGCAATGGCTTGTCTAGTGATGTCACTCACTTGATGGTTTGTTTCCTCAGAGTATGGCCAATCCATCTACCTTCATTTCTTCCTGCCTATGTGTTTCACAATCTGTTGGTTCCTGCTGTGTCGGTTGGTTCGCTCATTGCCAGAGATCCCTCTCTGTTGGTGATCTTTTCTGGCCGGCTGGCCATCTGGTCTTGAGTAGTATTGAGCGAAGACAGGTAGCTGTTGATGAAGGTGTGTAGTTTGTTTGATGTGCTCTTTATGACGCGCAGTGCAAGTCTCTGATCCATCCGTATAGTAAGTAGCACTGACTGACTTCACATTGGAGTTGAAAATTCGGATGTTATTTTTGATGGTGAGTGCTGTTGGCCTCCACACCGATTTGAGAGTAGGTAGTGAAAGCTTGTCTTACTTTTCGGATCCTCGCTGCTTTGATATCCTCGTCAGTTCCGTTCGCCTGTAGTTGATACTATGCTTCCCAGGTCGGTAGGTTGGTAAAGGAGGTTGTTTCTTTCAGGTTCCTTCCATTAATGCTGATTTTTGTCTGTTGTCTGTTGTTGTTGCTGTTGGGGGTGTTGGTCTGGAATCTTCATCACCTCTGTTTTCTCTGTGTTCACCTGAAGTCCTTACTATCTTTGATGCTTCTTCTGCCAACTTGTTGCTTTTCATCGCTTGCATATCTTCCAGTTTGTGGGAAATCAGACATATATCATCGGTGAAGTCCAGATCCTCTAAGTTTTTTGTGTGAGACCATTTTATGCCTGAAGGAAACTTGATGCTTATTTAAAAAAAATTTGAATATCATTTCTGTATGTCTTTATTTCCTTTCAACATGTTTGCCGATTAGCGCGCAATGTGACGCCATTGTTCTCCGATGCTTTTGGTAGGGTCACACCGACTGTCTTTGCACCTTTTACTAACACATAGTAGAGATACTGTCACTCTTTTATTCCCGTTGAATAATTATGTTAGACCAGAATGCTTGGTCTCGATTTACGTGTCTGCTCCTAGTACGGACGCTTTGACCATGTCTAAAGTTCAACATGATGATGGCTACGGTGGCCCATTGATCTAGTTGATAATGCGTTTGCCTTTGAAATGATTGATGTAGGATTGCAGTGTATCGAAAGGAAACAACACTCACTGGTTTTTCAGGTACATTTACCTGATGAATCCCAGAGTTAGGACGAAATTTTCTTCCTGGATCCCATTGGCAGTTACCATCAACCGAAATAACATTAAATCACTGTTTTGTTCACATGTATTGCCATTGGTTGTTTCGTTGCGAATCGCAAAAGACAATTAATTAATCAGGAATTAGTAGAAGTTAGCATTCACGACTGGCCATCGAGTTGTGTCCCAGTAGCTGAATGAATGCCTTGTAAACTGGTAGCTCTGGGTTCGAACCTTAGTGAGTGCTTACTGCCGATGACTTTCAAACTGGGATGAAGCAGTTGCCCAGTACTGCCTGGTTTTCAGTGATTCTCTCTCTCTCTCTACATATATATTCTTTTTGCGTCCCCTGTGGAACATAGGGCTCCATGATAGAGCCTTGAAGTTCCGGTAGCAGTGGTTGTACTGTTACGGAGCGGGATCGCTAGTCTTACTCTGAATGTTCCCTCTTTGCCTGGCTTAATACCATCTAAGCGAGGTTTGGGAGTGCGTCTGTCGGGGATCGAACCCCCGACCATCTCAGAGGCTGGCGAGCATTCTAATTTTGCCACACCGACGCTGAGGTTCTCTAACTCTGTCCCGCATTTAAGCCATCGAGCTCAGCAACTGGAAATACGCAGAAAATTCACCCATCTGAGCAACTAATCTTCATTATTATTTCTAAAGTTTAGTAGTGTATGGAGATGAAGGAAATCGAAAAACTGTCTTTGGCGCAGGTGAAAAGACTATCAGTGAAGTTAAACTTTAGTTAGTAGTAGCCAGCCACCTGGGTACTGATCTTTGACAACCAAATGGAATTACAGGTTGTATATAACTAAATCAAATTACACCTTCTGTCCTGGATTTGCTTAAGCGTATGTCCAGGAAGACCAAGTGTGTTTGACTACTATGTGGATGAATAATGGTGAATTTACTAATAATAATGCATGCATGAGTGAGGAGGGACACTTGACAAGATAAATGATTTGCAATTAATAGTGTTCTCTGAGCTGGTTGGTTTAGTTGCGGAGCTTTCGTCGTCCTTCTGAACAACATCTTCAGTGCAATATTTAGTATAAAGTGAAATGATTTAAATTTCTTCATGAGTGATAGAATTGAGTCTCCTGGTAACCATCTTTACATATTTATTGATCATTTTCTATTGACTTGGATCCAACAGAAAAAAGGAGATAAAATTAATACCATTTACAAAATAAATTGTATGAACTGTAACAAGCATTACATCGGCCAAAGTGGGCGTCCTTTTCGAATCAGAATCCGAGAACACAAATGAGCTGTGAAAAGACACGATATGTATTCTTTAGTATCAATGCATATAGACAATTATGGACATCAATTTGATTGGGATAATGTCAAAATCTTAGACAGAGGAAACACCAAAAGTGCAGTCAGGGAATTCCTAGAAGCCTGGTACTCAAGCGAATATGCAATTAACAAACACATTAATATAGACCAAATCTACCAACTAATAACAAGTAAATCAGGTGACCAGAAAGTTTAAAATCCAAGTCAATAGAAAATGGTCAATAAATATGTAAAGATGGTTACCAGGAGACGACGCAATTCTATCACTCATGAAGAAATTTAAATCATTTCACTTTATGCTAAATATATTGCGCTGAAGATGTTGTCCAGAAGGACGACGAAAGCCCCGCAACTAAACCAACCAGTTCAGAGAACACTATTAATTGCATATCATCCACCTGAGCTACAAATCTTCTCTATTATTTCAAGATAATTGATCTTTGGGCAGAATTGCGATTCTGAAGGTAGAATAAAGAACAGAATCGGTAAAATATAAACAGATTTCGGGACACCGTGATTCACTGTGTGTCAATCATCTTTCTAAACAATTTTGCAACTTTTATTGCTTCTTAATTCTGATTAGTTGCACAAAGTCAGTGGCAAGATCTATCCAAATGGCTGCACAATAGGAGTTTACCTTTTTCAGAACATTAATTGACAACTCCTGGTAGGTATAAAACTTGAAGAGGAGGTATCTATCGTATATAAAAATTTTCAGCCACTAACTCCAGGGTTCGAATCCTGCTCCGCCTATTTCAAATACTGAGGAAGCAGGTTCTAAGGTTATTCATTAGCAATCATGTCATTAATAAGTCTGACTTCTATAGCCTAGAATGCGTCGATGGTTTATAGTGTTAAGATTCTCGCTAAATACACATGCACTTAATTCGGGTTCGAATCCCGGGGGAAGGCTTAGAGTTAGTAAGGATAATAGGCCTTATCCCGTAAAAAAATAACAAGCAACATTTATGGATCGGGTCCCAGTGGCTCAATGGTCTACGAGCTCGCTGGCCTTGTAACCAGAAGGTCCTTGGTTCGAATCCCGGTGGGTGCGTACTGATGTAGAGTCCCAAACTAGGACGAAACGACTGTCCAGTACTCCATGGCTAGTTTTCCAATGGTTCTCTAAGTGATGTCAGCTCATGATGAAATCCTCCATGCAATCAAACAAAATCCCTACAAAACCAATACTTGAAAATTTATATTTTACTCGAAACTGAATGGAATAGAGAAAAATATCCTGGAACATATTAGGTAATTGAATTCTGATCCATTAGCCTACTAACTGTTGAATTCCCTCTTTTGTTATTGTTTTCTGTTGTTGTTGTTGGCGTCGTCGTCGTCATCAGGATAAGACAAATCCAATCTATGTGTTTACGCAGACCTTACCAAACGATACCAGTGTACAGAAACCTGATGTCTTACAAGTGAACGGTAAGTATGCCATTGTGTTTGTACTATTAATACAGGATTAATCAGGACTTTACCATTGTGGTAGAGTGTGTAATTAATTCCATTATGGATAAAATTTATTTTGAGAAAACGTCACACAGTGTTTTGTTATACAGTAATATTTACTGCTCACAACGTTTCGAGCACAATTTATGGCTGCTCATAATCCTATCAAGGTACTAAGATAATCTTCTGACTTTTTTTTTATTTCCTTCACGTTCCCCAGTGGAACATAGGGCTTCAAGCTAGTGGCTTGAAGTTTCTGTAGCAGTGTTTATTTTACAGGATGGGGTTGCTATCCTCATGCCCAACCTTTCCTCTTCACCAGCGTTATTTCTGGCTCAGCGAGGTAAAGGAGTGCGTGTGTGGCCGGTGATCGAACCCCGGACCATGTGCATGGTCGGCGAGCGTCCTAACCACTATGCCAGCGACGCACACCTTCTGACTTGGTTTTTATAATTCCATTATTTTTCATCTTTTGATTTGATTGGTAGTTAGTTATATTTGCCATATCTCTGGTATCAGTGTGATGAGTCATTCCTACTGCTGCATATGTTGGGTGTAGATTCGATGAACCAGGATTCAGTAAAACTCTCTCCCACTCTATTGTGTGGTTGTGTGTTTGTGTATGCAGTGCAATTGCTGAGTTATTTTTCCTAAATTACTTATCTTCACGGGGTCAACCATTCGATGGCACAGTGGTTAGGACTCTCGCCGACCATGCACATGGTCCGGGGTTCGATCCCCTGCCGGCGCACACCCGATATCTATGGTCGGCCTGAATTTGGGCAACCGATATCCATGCTGAAAATTCCACACTTGTACTGAAAATACGGTGTGGAATCAAGCTGTAAATCAAAAATAAAAAAAACCTTAGCTAACTAAATTCTTACGTTCTGATAATCTGACTACCCCTGATCTACTAGTTTGATCTATATAGTTGACCTCATAGCCATTGTTAGGGAAGTTCGTCTTCACTTAAGCCTCTGACTCTGTAGCTAAGGGCCCTTATTAAAGAAGACGCCAGTTTTTATTTTACCCAGCATACATAAGAGAAGAGGCACAAACAAAAATAGAGAAAAGTGTCAAAGGTGCATTGAGAAGTAAAATTTACCCCACCCCACCCCTGGATACTGATTCTTCTTTATAGCAAAAACGTGCTCAGTATTACAGTGCATAGTGCTCATGTCAACTCCAACTCACCTGCATTTGCGTTACCAAATTACTTGTGAAGGCGTGAGAGGAGATTTTCTCCGCCTATCCTCAGCAATCTTTATATGAAAAGAGCAAGTACAAATCGCTGAACACCTGATTGATATGAGGCCATTCAGTCGAAATCATCTACACCTTCAAAATGGCCATTCCACAGAGAAAACCATGGCTACTTCGATTCTCAGAAACCATTACTTTATACATAAGGACATTGTAGTTAACCTCGCACTATCGTGGGAACCACACTTTTCTGCTCTGTTGTGGCACAATCTGTTTTCAGATTACAACTCACTGAGCTGAACTCATGGTGCGCCGGTGGCACAGTAGTTAGGACTCTCGCCGACCATACACATGGTCTGGGGTTCGATCCCCTGCCGACGCACACCTGATATCTATGGTCGGTCTGCAAAATTTGGGCTACCGATATCACATGCTGAAAATTCCATACCTGTACCAAAAATATGGTGTGGAATCAAGTTGTAATCAATAAAATCAATTACTAATCTGCATAGCCTATCAACTACTCCACATTGTCTAGATTCAAGCCTTTTAGTGATTTACTCTCCTCATTGTTTTATTCTTCTCACACCTACCTTTAATGACAATTCGAATTATTATTATTATTATTATTATTGTTATTTTCAACTGCAAAGAAGCTTTCTTCCATATATGTATGTATCTATACACGCTTCCCTCTTGTTTTCTTTGTTTTAGACGGTGGATATCCACGACAATTGGCTAGTCTTTTGGAATTAGCACCATCGGAAAAAGTATTCGAAGATCGATTACGTCTTATTCGTGCACTTACACCGATTGGTCGTGAAGCAGCTAATGCAATTGAACAGTTAGTCTCTGAACAACGTCAAATGATACAGGTAGTAATAGCAAGCATAATTTTTGTTTCTTTCTTTTCCTTTCCAAAGACCGAACAGAGAGGCTTCAATCTTTAAGCTTTGCAGTTTCTCTGGCTCTCGAATTGTTTTTACGGAGTCTGTCTCTCTGTCTGTTTTTGACATAGAACTTTGCACATATATGCGCCGGTTCAAGTCCCTATACTCCCCCCTTGTAGCACACAAAGCAAGAGAAGAAAGTAGGAGAAATGCATATTAGAGAGAGACAGTAAACAGAGGTGTGAGTCAAAGGAGTAGTAATAACGAAGAACAAAACAGTTTCATTGGAAATCATAAGTCAGTCACAAGGAGTGGATGCATCTGCACCAGCCAGCCATTGAGAACGATCACTTTGAGCTAGCCATATCACCAATTGTTTCCAGCCTTCATTGGTTTTTACCATCCCGAGGACCCCCCCCCCCACCCAACCAGTCAGGAAGTCTACACCTTCCTACATGGATGGCTTAGACTAACTGTTGTAGATTTGATTGACTGGTGAAGCCATGTTTTCGTTTGGCCACCACTTACTCTTTCCCTCCAACCTGCACCCATATCAGATAGTAATGCCCGTCCGTCGGGGGAGGCGATGGTTAGGCATGCACAGCACGTCACCTAGCCATCTCAATCTATGTAACTTTATAGCCTCTTCGATTGATTTTCCCTCCTTTCCGAACACTCTACACCTAACTTCAACATTACTTACCTTATTATACCACCTCTTAACGTGATAAAGAGATCGTAGACATCTATGATCAAAAACAGTCAACCTTTTCATGTCTTCAACTCGTATTGGCCATGGGCCCGAGGATGACATGTTGGAGACGGAGGCTTATGGGAAGCAATTGTTGAGTCAGCTAGAAAAGACTCGAAACCATAGGGAAATGGAAATCTCCTGCTACTGTTGAAGCTTGAGTGCTACACTCAAACCTCCAGGGAATAATAATAAATAATAATAATAATTGTAATTGAAGTTGTTTTCTAGAAAAACACTTCAATCAGCTTAGAGATGTGTGATGTAAGCAAAACACATTATCGACTGAAGATCATATCGTCAACATTATTTGTGATTTTCGACATATATATTGTAAATACTGCAAATGTGCGTTAGTGAGTGTGTGCGGTGTGTGTGTGTGTATCTCCGTATGTGCGTGTCTGTCTGTCTCTGTACATGTTTGCATGACGTTTTCTCAACAGAAGCATCCAGCCTAGTTTCAGACACATATATAGTGGTTGTTTTTTAAAGAATGCAAAATGATGTTTGCAGGTTTTTGTAGGTTTACACTCTTGAATGTATAGTCGTGTGTCCTTCATACTACTAGAGATTATAGTATGTATTCTAACTTTTGTCAGCTGATAACTGACGTAATACAACATATAGTGTAGTTTCTGTAATCGGATTAACAGCAGTAGTAGTAGTAGTACCAGCAGCAATAGAAGTACTACAACTGTGCCAATGTTTGCCGTTTTTTTTGTACTGATAAAGGGGGATAAGAGATTTTCTTTTTTTTTTTAATGTGACAGATAATTGCCTACCTTGAATTCCTTCCTTTCTTCATAGTTTATTTTTGACAATTTGTATACAGTTAAATAAATGCGTTCAACATTATGCGCGTGCGTGCGCGTACCTACACGCCAGAAATTGACACAGGATGTGCATTTTGCAAGCAAAAAAGAAAGTGTAGTGTAAAAGTTCATAGTATAGTTAGTTGTACGCAGCATACATATATATAGTATAATGGATTCTGCAGGCGATTGAGTGATATTCAGTTTTAGAACCAATTAACAAACAAGTCGCGAGCCTGAATAGCTCAGTGGTAACGTCTCTGACTGCACCCCTGGGTGACGCGGGTTCGAATCTCAGAAGGGACATCAGTTCCCTCAAGGTTGCAAATACGCCTCGCTGATGAGTGTCAACTAGCACGAAACCTAGGTCCAAGGCTTCCTGTCGATTGCCTTCAACCATCTAATACCAACAAAGAGTATTAGTTTAGATGGGATTCTTTAGCATTGTACCCCCACCCACCCTCCTCCGCCTCCGCCACATAACCCTACGGCCAGGGATCGAACCGAGGACGACGAGTCGAGCCCGTTGACCATTTTTTTCTCTCATTTAGGACAAAAACTAATGAATTTTTACTTTCGCTAATTCATAACATATGTAATGTCACAGCCAGCTAATATAATTTGTGAGTATTTCTCTTCACACCTGACTTAAACAACCTCATTGGCGGTCACGACTTCCCATTAAGTTATATTATAATTAATTCCTAGAGGAACATAGGGCTTCAGCCGTGCGTCTCCATTGCGTTCCGCCCTCTGCTAGAGTCTTCACCTGGCTCCAAGTCTGCCCACACACACGCTTTCATCTCCTCTTCACATGACCTCCTCCAAGCCACCCTCACCCTTGCACTGACGACCAACTCACCGCTGCTTCCCTTTCGGCCGGGTTCCACTCTAGCAATCGCTTGTCTAGTGATGTCACTCACTTGATGGCTTGTTTCCTCAGAGTATGGCCAGCCAATCCACCTACTTCCATTTCTTCCTGCCTATTTGTTTCACAATCGGTTGGTTCCTGCTGTGTTGGTTGGTTCGCTCATTGCCAGAGATCCCTCCCTCTCTGTTGCTGATGTTTTCTGGCCGGCCGGCCATCTGATCTTGAGTAGTATTGAGCGAAGACAACTAGCTGTTAATGAAGGTGTGTAGTTGATTTGAGATGCTGTTTATGACGCGCAGTGCAAGTCTCTGATCCATCCGTATAGTAAGTGGCACTGACTGACTTCACTCACATTGGAGTTGAAAATCTGGATCTTATCTTCGCTTTGATGCTGAGTGCTGTTGACCTCCACACAGACTTGACGTGAGTAGTGAAAGCTTGTCTTGCTTTTCCGATCCTCGCTGCTTTGATATCCTCGTTATTTGAACATACTTCTGAAGAATCGTGAACTGGAATGGGAGACAACTGCCTCTACTCCTCTGTGGGATTATCACTGTCTCTGACTTATACTGGTTGATAATAAAATCTACGTTGTAATGTGCATTTATAATAATAATTTTTATTTCTCTTCCTGTGTTTTTTCTTTTTAGGGTTGGTGTGTTGCACTAGCAAATTTAGCTGAAGTTGCTACAGATACTAATAAGCGTTTATTATTCGCAACTAGCCGACTAGTACAATTTGAAGAATGTATTTCTGATTGGGAGAGAAAGTTGTACAGGTAATTTTTGTTTTGTTTTTTTTCCTTCACGTTCCCCATTAGGACACATGGCTTCAAGCTAGTGGCTTGAAGTTTCTGTAGCCGTGTTTATTTTACAGGATGGGGTTGCTAGCCTCATGCCCAACCTTTCCTCTTCACCAGCATTATTTCTTGCTTAGCGAGGTAAAGGAGTGCGTAGTCTGTGGCCGGGTATCGAACCCCGGACCATGTGTACGGTCGGCGAGCGTCTTAACCGCTGTGCCACGGACGCACAAAACCTGGGAGTACAGGATAGCTGTTTCGTCCTCGTTTGAGACTCTTCATCTGTATGCACCCACCGGGATTCGAACCCAGGACCAATGGTAATTCTTTTCTCTGCTGTGTGTTCTTTCTTTTCCTTATATTTCATCTGAAATAAACTACTCTGTAAAGATCATTTGTCTCATTCAATTCATTGTTGTCAGTCATGTTTTGGTTGGATTACTGCTAGTTGCGTAGAGAAGTTTCTCAAAAGGAAATTAGAGCGGACATGAAGAATAGGGACCACAGAGTGCGAAAGCACCAATCGCCTTGGACGCCTGTCATTCATTGGATTATAATAGGCCTGCCGTGTATTTTACATCACAAAGGAGTTTCAAGTGTTGGTTGGTAGGAATTTGATTGATTACAGGATTTCATCATGAGCTGACATTAGTTAGAGAACCATTGGAAAACCTTTAACCAGAAGGTCCTAGGTTCCTATCCCGGTGGGTGCGTACTGATGAAGGGTCTCAAATTAGGACGAAACAGCTGTCCAGTACTCCCAGTTTTTCCAATGGTTCTCTAACTAATGTCAGCTCATGATGAAATCCTGTAACCAATCAAATCCCTACCAACCAACACTTGAATATCAATGAGATGCTCACTAGAGACTTGCCCTATTCAGGTAGGTAGTTACTTGGGGTTCTAGTGAGAAGTCGTGACCAGTAGGGTGCAGCAGGTCGGGTGTGAGGACAAATACTCGCCGAAGACATTGGCTAGCGGTTGAGCTATATCGTGAATTGGCAGAAGTTAGAATTCATGGGCTGGCCACTGGATCAGGTCCCAGTGGCTTGATGGTATACGAGCTCGCCTTGAAACCAGAAGGTCCTGGGTTCGAAACCTGGCTGTGGGGTGGGTGCGTACTGATGAAGAGTCCCAAACTAGGACGAAACAGTTGGGAAGGACCACACAAGCCTGAGGTTTCTTCACCGATCAAACGTGATTCTTCATCGCATCCCATCGAGTCTTTTTTTAATGGTTCTCTGACTTAGGTTATTTCTTGATCAAAGTTGCCAAGTCTGTCTCCTGGGTATTGTTCAGTGAGTGAACGACAGACGATCTCTAAAGTTAGTTACTTAACCAAATGATCAAGGTTTATTCTGTTATTTTTTGTTTGTCTGTTTATTTTTGCATTCTTTCTGCATCTCCCCCACCCTTGCATCTTCTTTTTTTCTTTTCAGTTTTCATGAATTGAAAAAGGAATTGTCTGATTTACCATTATTGCCACAATTAGTTGTGATTGGAACCAGTGAATCATCGACCAATGAGAAAGAATCGGTATGTTCCTGTGTTTTCTTGCTTATTTCTCCTCTTACGTTGTCGTCCTCGTCTAATTTACGTTCTATTGTTAACCTAACCTAACCTACATTGAGGGTGTCATTTAGAGGAGTGTTTTATCCAGTCAGGTGGCGCTATGTTAGAGCACAGAGCCTCAGTGGCATATCCCAGCTGCTCTCAATTCTTTGTCATCACTACATGATGACTGCCGTTCACAGGTTTTCATTTCCTCCACCATGTCATCCTCGGAGGATGCCAGCCTCCGAGGATTGCTTTCCATTCGCGTTTCACTTTACAGTCTATCAATATGAAATGTCACTTGAGAAACAATGTCTTCAGCCACAGTGTATATCCAGTCGAACTCTATTTTCTTTTGTATATATTCCCTTGGCCAAACAGCAGGCTGTTGTCTGGTGGTTGGCTGCCTACCGAAGTTTCTTGTTGCTTATCTTTTCTGACAGGTGGTGGTCGGTCGTTTTTGATTTCCAGTATTGAGTGTGAAGTCTGCAATTTGCGCTTGGAGTGTATGTATTTTAGTGATGCTCCAAGCCTCTTGGTTGTCGTAGTCGTGATGGTAGTAGAAAGCGAGTGATAGTTACTTCAATATATTGTCATTTCAATACTTAAGTAACGTGTTCAGTGTGTGTGTGCATACAACAACCTTGTTATTTATATTTGTATTCTCATGTATTTGACCTGATTCTTTTACAGCACTTTTAATATCGATGTCCTTAACATGTTTGCTATGTGTAATTAGTTATATGTGTGTGTATCTATTGGGTTGGGTTGATAAAATGTGTGAATGCGTTTCTGTTGAATTTGAACGCATGTATTCTAGTTGTACCCACTCATATATATATGCTTATATAGTCGGCGAAATCGATTAATCATTTAGAGAGATATTCAAGTGGTGTGTCGTGGCTCATTGGGGCTCAGTGTTTGAAGCATCTCAAGTTTGGATAGAACGTCTATCCAGTAGTCCTTGGTTATTTATGTAGACTGTATAACTGAGTTGTAAATTGCTTCAACCTTCGAGTTAATGTGTTCGAAACATCTATCTATATCTTGTGTCCTAAGTACAGTGAATGTATCATCTACATACCTCCACCATACTTTTGGGGTGGGGGTGAACGTTTCAATCGCTATGCTTTCCCACCTATCCATGAATATATCTGCTACAACTGGGGATATTGGTGATCCCATGACAACTCCCTCAGTTTGTTTGTATATTTTCCCTTGGAATTTAAATACTGTGGAAGTCAGGCATAGCTAGACTCCCAGCATATTATGTCCTCAAGTGGCACTTTTGTCCTAAGTTCGAGTTCTTGGTCAGAAATGAGTTCGTTTCTGACTGCCTCTATAGCCATATTTATTGGTGTACGTGTGTATAAACTGACAATATCAAAACTAACCATTTTTTCTTCATTATCTAATCTATGTTTTAGTTCATAAAACAGATTAGATAATGAAGAAAAAATGGATCCTGTAGAGCCTTTAAAACAAAACAATTTAGTTTATCTAATACTCTGCCTGCAATGATTGTCAGGTCAAATACATGGGTCAGATTAGTAGAACAGGGTCAGTGAGTCAGACTAACCGAGCATAAAAAATATAGCGAAATCTATATAAGTTGACCCGAATTAGATAAGAAATCTAGAGATTAATAGTTCAGCCATAGCACTAACCTACACGTAATTACTCACAATCATAAAATACAATTGGATGAGATAAAATGACAGTTTTAAAATCAAATGTAACAGAGCAGGGTGGAGGGAGAGATTGATAACAACGGAAGCTTTGTTTATCGAATCAACTGAGGAGAATACGTGTAATAAGAATGATTCAACACCTATCCACCCAGACATCTGGAAAATCTTACTACCCCTACGACAAATAGGAGAGAACAAAGGAGAATATATATATATATATAATATATAATTAAAGTTTCAAAGTCGTGTGATTACAATTGATATGATTATGAACAGTAATAAATTTTGTTCGAAACTGTGTCATCCAGTAAATAATACTGTTTCATTATTATTGGTGTCGTCATTAATATTATTATTATTATCATTATTATTGTTATGATGTTATGTTAATGATAATAATAATAGTGATAATAATAATATTAATGACGACACCAATAATAAGGAATCTAAATCATCAGTAGTAATTCCATACAAGGAAGGAACCTCGGAAGCCTTACGCAGAATTCTTAACAAGGCAGGAATAAAAGTGGCTGCTGGCATTCAAACCCACAAACTCAATTAGAAACAAGCTTTGTCGGTTAAAGGATCAATCCTGTGGAGCCTTTAAAACAAAACAATTTAGTTTATCTCATACCCTGCCTGCAATGATTGTCAGGTCAAATACATAGGTCAAACTAGTAGAACAGGGGCAGTGAGTCAGACTAGCTGAACATAAAAACCTAGCAAAATCAATTCACTTATAAAACAATCTTTAATAATTTTGTAATTTATCCACTTCAACTCTACCCCTTATAACATTTTAATAATCGTTATTCTTATCACATATATGTATATTGACTGAGCAATTATTTAGTGCCACTTAATGACCTTTTCTGTAATATAAATACGACTGTACAGCTTGAAAATGAAGTCGTTGAAAAGAAATTTCTTCGCTGAACAAAAACTGTGATCCAAATAAGATAAGAAATCTAGAGAATAGTTCAGCTATAGCACTCACTGCATGCAGTTACACACAACCATACATTAGGATGAATGGGATAGGATGACAGTTTTAAAATCTAATGTCACAGAGTATAGGGAGAGATTGATAACAGAAGCTTTGTTTATCGAATCAACTGAGGAGAATGCATGTAATAGGAATGATTCATCACCTGTCCCAGATATCTGGAAAATTCTACTACCCCAACGACGATAAATAGGAGAAAACAAAGAAAACTATAAAACTCAAGTTTCAAAGTCGTGTGATTACAATTGATGATATGATTATGAACAGTAATAAATTTTGTTCGAAACTGTGTCATCCAGTAAATAATACTGTTTCACTGACTGTGTGATATATCTAATAAACAAACTAATATGGAATTACTTACTACCACAGCAGTGCCCAAGTTTTACACATATATTAATTAGGACGAAACAGTTCCTCTAGCCGTAATGTTGACTTATTAAGGGAAGTAAAGTTTCTTTTGTTTCTTTTTTTATGCTGGCTTAGATTTTTTTTGTTTTGATGGAACTTCATATACCATTGATTTAAATTTATGTCCAACCTCTTTCTTTATCTAGTTGAACACCAACAACAGCAACACTAGTAATATACCAAAACCAAAAAATCTATACGAATGGGTTTGTTTACAATCAGCTATATCCAGTATTGGCACACGTTATTCCCTAGTATCATCATCATCATCATCATCTACACCGTCAACAATTAAATCTGTTGGTTTACAACATCTCGGTGTTGGTGGTGGTGGGGGCGGTGGTCGAGTCCGTACAACAAGTACTGGCCAACTGAGTTCTACAGTGACTACTGGAGTTAATCAATCGTCTAAAGTCTCCTTCTACACTGGTGGTTCACAGACCAGTTTGAATAGTTTGGGTATGGGTTGTTCAAATTCATCACCGCCTCCATTGGATAATCGATTATTGATTGATCAAGGTTCAATGAATAGTGTTGTTAACAGTAATAATCTTAGTACGTCCATACAACAACAACAACAACAACAACATGAATCCTCGTCAACAACACCAACAACAACAACTGGGATAGATTATTATGAGTCAGCATTTTTAGAGATTATAAAACGAGCTATTGATGACATACATTCATTACGATATGGTCCAGATGTACAGTTTCAGTCAACTGGAAATGGAAAACACCAACAAGGACAACCACAGCCGACAGATACTACTACTACTACTTCCAGTGAATTGACTTATGTTCGAGCGTAAGTTGTTGTGCTTCTGAACTTCTTATCTTGATTATTGAAAGATGATTCTTTTCTTTTACAGTATAATAAATTTTTTTTTTAAATTATTTTGAAGCAAAGTTAATTCATTCATTGTAATAAAGGTTATTATTAAACCGGAATTTACAAAATCTCAGCATATATATAAAGAAAGTTAGGGGGTGAGAAAATAGACATATTGAAAGTCACTAAACCAAATAACAGAGGTAATAGTACATCTGTTATGGTATCAAAACAAAGTTTACTAACTTGATCATCGTTCGTCAGTTTGGGGTCATTTTTCGTTGTCAAGTTGGTCATTTGAAAAGATAACAAAATCAAAGTCAAGTGTGGATTGTTGGATTTGATCAGTGTTTAAAATTATGAAAGCAGTGTGTTTACATAGTGAACTTGCATATCACATTCGTGTTGATTTTGTCACTTCATGGGGTAGGGGAGGGAGGTGTTGTAACCAGGTCAGATTCTGTTTTAGTCCATCATTCCTATTGAGTTCAGACAGTTTGGATTCCACTTGATATGAAGTGCTTCTGATGATATTAGACGTTATTGGTGATTTCTGAATTGCTTTTTCTGGATTATTTCAATATTGTCGAAATCAATTTTGTGACCTGATTCTATAGTGTGTAGAGGAGCTATGGCTGATGATTTTTCAAGTTTTTGTAGTTCAACCGGATTTCTTGGTGGTCGAACAGATGCTCTTCGGTGTTCATTTCTTCTGATTTTGATTTCTCGAGATGTTTGTCCGATGTATATTGCATCACATTCCAAGCATTTTATTTTATAGACACAATTAGATAGAGAATCTTTAGGGATTTGGTCTTTTATATGGACAAGGTTGTTTCGCAGTGTGTCTGATGTTTTGAAGAAAACACTAATGCTACTCTAATAATACTTTGATAAAGCTATTGACATTAAATAGCGAAACGTCAGTAAGAGCAACAATACCGTTTTGTTTTTCATTCATTGGGAAATACAAACAAATCCTTTATTATAATGAATATCATATACCCAATGCTCAAATTTTTCAAATCGTTAAAATTGAACTTGGTTTGGACATATATAAAGTTTATTCATAATTAAATTAATTACTCCTTTTACCCTCTGAGTGGAACATTGGGCTTCAAACTAGAGGTTTGAATTTTCAGTAGCGGTAGCTTAATTTTTACGGGGTGGGATTGCTAGTCTCATGCCTAACCCCTTCCCTTTGTGTCGGATTTAGCGAGTCTAAGGAGTACGTCGACCGAGAATTGAACCCCAGACCACATGCATGTGGTGGGCGAGCATCCTACCGCTAAGCCACCGACGCACACAAAACTTGGGAGTACTGGACAGTTGTTTCGTCCCAGTTTGGGACGCGGCGTTCATCAGTACGCGGCCACTGAGGTTCGAACCGAGGACCTTCCGTTTACAAGGTGGGCTCGTGGACCATTGAGCTGCTAGGTGGTGAAAGTAATGTATTATTGAAATAATAAAGAAAATTTGTAGCTCAGGTGGATGATTTGCAACTAGTTGTGATCTCTGAGCTGGTTGGTTCAATTGCGGAGCTGTCGTCGTCCTTCGGGACAACATCTTCAGTGCAAGTTTTAGCATAAAATGAACTGATTTAAATTCTCCATGAATGATAGAATTGCGTCTCCTGGTTATCATCTTCGTGACTGGTGGTAGTTGATTTGCATCAGTATTGATCATTTTTTATTGACTTGTATTTTGAACTTTCTCGTCACATGATTTACTCTTTATTAGTTGGTAGATTCGGTCTATATTAATGACGAAATTTTAAACAGAGGAAACACCAGAAGTACCGGAGAATTCCTACAAGCCTGATACTCAAGCGAATATGCGATTAAAAAACATGCTATATGTATATAGACCAAATCCACCAACTAATAAAATGTAAATCACGTGACAAGTACTGATGCAAATCAACTACCACCAGTCACGATGATGGTAACCAGGAGACTCAGTTCTATCATTCATGGAAAATTTCAATCAGTTCATTTCATGCTAAAACTTGCACTGAAGATGTTGTCTCGAAGGACGACGACAGCTCCGCAATTGAACCAACCAGCTCAGAGAACACAACTAATTGTAATGTATTATTATTCTCTTGGGGGTTCCAAGTGGGATGTAAAGCTTCAACAATACACTTACTTCCATTTTATCTTGTTTCCTGCAGTCAGTCCTTTTTTATCTGGCTCTACAATCACCCCATAAGCTTTAATTTTCTCCACATCATATGATCCCCTCTATTTCACCCACAGACTCACGTTAAATTCGTTTTTTCCCATTCGAGTACCACTCAAGGACCAATCTCATAGTGCCTCCCTCAACAGTCTTCTCAGCATTTTCTTCTCCGTATTGGCTGGGCAATAAGTTCATAGTTAAATTAAATACCTAGGCGTCATTCTATCTGCTGATCTCTCCTGGTCGTCTCATATCTTGACGATTTCTAAGAAAATATTCCGTCTTACCTTCTACATCAAGAAGTTAAGACATCCTCCTTACTCCTACAATCCGTTAACTCTCGCATTCTGCCTATTGTTCCCCCTCAGTTTTTCACGGGCTACTGAGGAAAGACTATACCTTATTACGTAGGATGTTAAAGGTTGTCAGCAGGGTAAGCAATGTGCCACTTAACCAGCTTGTTAATATTCTGGTTGACAGGCAGGTACATGGACTCGTGTGAAAAATGGGCCAAATCCATTTTATCTAACTGACACCACCCTCTTCACTCACAACTCTCCCCTTGTATCTCATCAGGTAAAACCAGAAGCCAATATAGAAAGCTATATGCTCGCACCAGCAAGCAAGTACAAAAACTCAAACATACCCTACTAAGCTCGTGTTCTGTGTGATAAAGAAAGCATTAGGCGTGACACCTATAATTCATTAAATAGTCAGTAGCACAACTGGACCTCGTCTTTCCAACTCATATCATTTATAGGTACAACGTTTTCTTTCTTTCTTTCTTTTCCTTTTCTCTCTCTTCTTTTTCCGTTATGTGCTGCTTTGTTTCTTTTTTCCGCTTACGCCAGTAAATATGATAGCACCTACTTTTCTAACACCTTCAAACATTCTGTTCAACTGTGGCTTTGTTACCGATATGCCAATGTATTGTTGTCATAATGAACTGAGATTTCCTTAATCTATGTAGAATTCTATTTATTGATAATGTACTAACTGGATGCAATAGTGTAGTAAACAAAGTGCTGAGAATTCCATTCTGTATCACAAGTACTGTTTTGGAATAAAACAAATTATTATTATCATTGGTTGGTTTGTTGCTAGAGTCACTTCTACCCAATCCTTTTTTGACCGTCTGATGATCTGTTTCTGAAAGTTGGCAACCTGCTGGAAATACTTTTCGTGATGTGTGTCTCAAAGTAGAGAGAGAAAAGATAGAAAAAGTAACTCAAAAGAGTTATTATAATTAGTTGAAATGTAAGCGAGGAAAAATAATCACACGGAGATACATGAGTTTTTTCAGCCACATCACTAACATTCTGCAGTCATTGGTGTGTTTAGCATCTTGATGCCTTCAACCAGACAGTCCACAGTAGTCGAATCACTGACTCTACGGGATTGATTCCAGGTTTTGATTTGATCTAGCATCGGTGGCACAGTGGTTAGGACTGTCGCCGACCATGCACATGGTCCGGGGTTCGATCCCCGGCCGACGCGCACCTGATATCTATGGTCGGCCTGCAAAATTTCGGCTACCGATATCACATGCTAAAAATTCCATACCTGTACCAAAAAAATACGGTGTGGAATCAAGCTGTAATCAAAAAATTTAAAAAATAGCATCCCTAGCTTTTCTCTAACATAATGTTATCTCCGCTGACATTGCTTGTTGAGCAAGGTAATGAATGGGTGCATAGTGGCCTAGCCATATCAAACCTGTTTTTTTTATTTACACTCCTTGACTAACGCTACTCTTCTGATCAGAATGGTTACTCCGCATATAATACAACTAAATTTGCACGGGGATGATATAACACAGACAACTGTGGCCAAAGACAGTCAGCCTTTTCCCCTATCTTCTACTGTCAATGACCATGCTTCCTAGCCATAAAGATGAGAGGAGAGTGAACTGTAGTGCGTGCAGTACCGTATCCTTTGATCTATTACCGGACATAACTTGGTAAATACTACACGAAGCTTTTCTATCAGTGTTGACATTTCGTCAGCAATCAGTCCATATGCGTGGATTGGCCACTATACTCTACTACTTCATGGTGATTTTGGTGTAGACCAATCCTGCAACATCATCATCATCGTACATCTGACTTCAGAGAATCCCATACCAAAAATATTTGAAGATTTCCGCATATGTTGGTCAAAATTCTCCTTTAACTATGCTTTCTTTATGGTATGGTAACATTGTGTTAGTTATCTAGTTGATGACAGCGTTAGCACACTAGAATTCATTCATGACTTGTCAGCTAGACGAAGAGTTCATGATAAAGATGCTAAAGATGTTTATACATTCATCTGATGAGCCCTGAGTAGGATGAAATTCATTCACCCTAAACTACAGGCCGGCGGAACTGACGAGGATATCAAAGCAGCGAGGATCGGAAAAGCAAGACAAGCTTTCACTACCTACTCTCAAGTCTGTGTGGAGGTCAACAGCACTCACCATCAAAACGAAGATAAGATCCGGATTTTCAACTCCAATGGGAGTGAAGTCAGGCAGTGCTACTTAATATACGGATGGATCAGAGACTTGCACTGCGCGTCATAAAGAGCATGCATCTCAAACAAACTACACACCTTCATTAACAGCTACCTGTCTTCGCTCAATGCTACTCAAGATCAGATGGCAGGCCGGCCAGAAAAAATCAGAAACAGAGAGGAGTGTCTGGCAATGAGCGAACCGACCAACACAGCAGGAACCAACCGATTGTGAAACAAATAGGCAGGAAGAAATGGAGGTAGGTGGATTGGCTGGCTGGCCATACTCTGAGGAAACAAGC